GCTGAATGTTGACTGTGGATGCCTTCCATCTTCTTCTGATACTTCCTGCATCAGGCAGTATTTTCCCCATTGACTCCCTCAGTAGTACAGCTCAGATCTTTTCTTTTGAATCCTTTCTTTAGTTCTTTAAGCTGGAGATAAGCTGGGCGTATTCTTCTCTTTTAGCTTTCTAACTCCAGGTCTCTGCATATTTCATTATAATACTTGACTTTGCTTTCTCCATCTGCTCTTTGAGATTCTCAGTTCAGCTCCGTTCCTTGATTGTTTTTTTTCTGTTTGCTTTAACCACTCTCCGTTCAGGAGCGAGTTTCAGCGTCTCACCTGACGTTCACTTCGGTATTTTCTTCTCACATGTCTTTCTGCTGACCTTTTGCTCTCTTTAATATGATGATCTTGATGTTATCTCACAGCTCTGTTCTGGAAATTCAGGTGACGAAATACTCAAGGTCACAGTTTGGTTCTTATGGGCTTGTTTTCTTCAACTGCAACCTGAACTTGACAGATGAGCAGCCGATGCTCTGTTCCATAGTCAGCACCGGCCTCGTTTTGGCTCCTTATATCGAGCTTTTCTGTTGCCTCTCCCTGCAGATGTAGCCGATTTGATCCCTGTATAGTCCATCTGGTGGGGGCCATGGGCACAGTCATGTTGTTGAAAAGGTATTTGTGATGAAGAAGTCACTGGCCTTTCATGTGGGGGAAGGCCAGCCCCCCACAACTAATCGTGTGTTCATTAGGCACAATTGTACGGTTGAGATATATAAAGATTATAATAAAGTCATAGAGAATAAGGAGAGATAGAAGAGAGATTTAGATAATGGAGTCAGACACATTTCATGGTAACATGCTCACTTCGGGGACGGCCATAATCTCAACAGCCAGGTTCTCACACAGGCAGAGGGCAGGAGAGGGAGGGCAAGGAAGGACATTGGGAGGGGGCAGGGGAGAGAGGATGGGGGTGGGGGTGGGAAGAGCACCAGGGAGAGAGGGACGGGGAACGGGGAGAGAGGATGGGGAGTGAGCTCTTTATTTCTAACCAAGGCTTATATATCTTTGGGGGACGTGCAAGCCCCCTAATTACAGGTAAAGACATACATCACAGGAAAGGGTTGTGCTATAGCTAATAACCTAGAGGAGGAGGATCTAGGGGTATACACGCAATAGGAAGAGGAGGGATTGGGGGTATACATGTGACAAGATGGGTGGATCCTAGATTCAGGGTGGCAGCCTAACTCTGGATGTCACTGAGCAGGTTTGACCTGTTCTCTGGCTCTCCGTGGAAACCATGATCAGTAGTGTGTGAGCCCCACCTACAGTGGACCAGATGCCTTCAGGGAGAATATCTCTAAGCATCTGACCTCCCACCATGTGCTGACTAACTGCCTCTAACGTTCGGCATATCTTTGGGGGGAGACAAAGCTGGGGAAAGTCTTTTTATATGCCACACTTTCAGAATTCTGCCATACCATCTCCAGCTTTGTTTCTACCATTCACTCTGTATTTTCCAATTACTGTCCCTACCTCTTTGCTTCCAACTTTTACATTCCAATCACCGGTCATTATCAATGTATTTCGATTGCATCATTTGATCCATTTCAACTGAAGAAGTTGGTAGCATTCTTCAGTTTCTACATCATTAGCGTTAGAGGGTCATCGAAAAAGAGGAAGACCCTCAAGGAGAGCTGGCTCGCCACAGTGGCTGCAGCAGTGGGCTCAAACATACTAATGGGTCTAAGAATGGCGCAGGACAAGGCCGTCTTTTGTTGTATTTAGGGTCACAATGACTTGGGACCAACTCCATGGCCCCCTAACAACAGCAGTCACAGCTTTGGTAGCTGGTGTGTAAGTCTGAATAATAGTTGTATTACCTGGGCTTCCGTATAGGCCTGTAAGTACCAGCCCATCACAGGCAGCATTGGACGTCAAGATATTCTTCATAATAGCCCCTACCTGGAAACAACCCAAATGCCTGTCAGCTGACTAATGGATTAACAAAATGCGCGTTTACTGTACGACTCTCTTTGTATGAAATACTAGGAGAGGCAAATCCTTACAGATAGAGAATAGATCTGTGCTTACCCCAGGAATGGTGGAAGGGAATGGGGAGTAACAGCCAATGGGCTCAGGTTCCTTTTAGGAGTTGATGAGAATGTTCTGGAATTAGATAGCGGCAATGTTGCACAATTTTTTGAATATACTAAATCTCATTGGTTAGCACATTTAAAGAGTGAAAGTGAATTTTACAGTATATGAATTGTATCAAAAAATTTAAAGCACTTAGAAATGCTTTTTGTGTGTGTGCAAAACATTTTTTATTATATTTATTCATAAATGCATTGATAATTCTTTATATGTACAATGTATGTTTATGTACCTTGCATAACCGCAGGAGTCCATAGTGCACAACACAACACAACACAATTGACTATGTACATTTTTTTTCATTACCTGAGTTCACTCTGATGACTTGCACTGAATGGAATGAGCCAGGGATGCATAGTCCGGACAGTAACTACTGACAGCCAGCCTCAAGCACACTTCCAAATGATCATCAGTCATGGTGGAACGGTACCCGGACTTAATGATCTTTGTGTGGGAAAAGGCTGACTCATATAAATAAGTAGAGCTGAATAATGCAGTCAAGGAGATAGCACATTTTCTCATGTTTGGTACTTTCCCTCTGCGAGTTAAGTTCCAGAACTGTTCATTGCTCTGGACTTCAGCTGAATGTCAGCTTGTAGTGTCAGAATCTCCCATTCTGTAGGAAAGTGATATATTTTTGTCTTCTTATTTGGTCCAGCTCCCCCACTCATTTTAATACCCTTTCTTACGTTTAAGAGAAAAAAACCCAAGGTCTGAAAATTGTTGATACCTTAGCTTGTCAGGTTTGCTGCACTTAGTGCAGTTGTTTGCGCATGCATTTGACACCTAAGATTGTTTCTGATTGGCTGTGCTGTATATCAGTTAAATGACAGGCTTGATGATAGGCTTACTTATATTTTTTTTTAATGCCATGTGGTCTACCCACACTACATTTGCAGTCGACTACATATCGCAGTCTCCATATTGAGCACCCCTGCCCCAGTCACTACTGGGCTTTCCAGGGCATTTCGTATTTTCAAACCTTCTGGTGTGATCCCTCGTGGATGGCCTGTTTTCTTTTTCTTTCTTTTTTTTTTTTAATGCTTTTCATATCATGCGACAACCACTATTTGGAAAATCTTCCTGTTTGGGTTTGCTGTTGATGGCCTAACAAATTACCATACACTTGGTGGCTTAAAACAACATTCATTTATTCTCACATAGTTCTTGAGACATGGGTGTCCCTGGGTCAAAATCAAGGTTTTGTAGGGCTGTGTCCCTTCTGAGAGCTCTGGGGAGAATTTGTCTCCTTGTCTCTTCCAGGTTTTGGGGGCTGTCTGAAAAAGTCTTAGTGGTGCAGTGGATTCAGTATTAGGCTGCTAACTTCAAGGTCAGCAGTTCGAACCTACCAGCCTCTCTATCGGTAAAAAATGAGGCTATCTCAATGTTTCCCAAAATGGCCAATACTGCCTCCTAGGGGCACTGAGTCAATCCACAGGGGCTGTAGAAGCAAATACCTACACTTTATCTTGGAGTGGAACCTCAAGATCAGCCGTTTGAAATCAACAGCAGCTCCGCAGAAGGAAAATGAGACTTTTCTACTTCCGTAGAGTTACCGTCTTAGCAACCCCGGGGTGGTTCCACCCTGTCTTAGGAGGCTGCTAGGAGTCAGAGTTGAGTGGAGGCAGTGAGTTCTGTTTTGGTACCCTGAATTGTGGGCTATAGGACAGACGTTTTTCCATTGCTGGAGGTGGGGTGTGTGGGGGGGGCACTGAGTAATTTACTTTTCCCCTGAAAAGGGATTGGTGGGCCAAATAGGTTTGGGAACCTGTGGGCTGTGTGCTCTCACAGATCACACAACTTCAGAAATCCCCTGGAGCAATTTCGCTCAGTCCCGCAGGGAATCAACTTGGTAGCAGTGAGTTTTCTCGGCTGCCATGGCCCCCTCATCCTCACAGGCAGCGGCTGAGGGGGAGTCCTGGCGCTGCAGCTCTGGCGTCTCTAGAGCCTGGAAAGGCTCTTCCCTTCTAAGGACGCCTGAGATTAGATTGGGTTTATCGGATGGTCAGGGTCATCGTGTTCTCATAGCCCCGCAATTCAATGGGGTCCTCAGCCCGTTCTGCCTTAGAACAGAACATGTTCACAGAATCCATGCCACGGGACATGGACATTTGAAGGGGTATTACTCTGTCAACCCCAGTTCCTATCACCTGGAACAAAAGCCCAAAGGCCTTCGCCGGACTCACCGACCCTCCTTGCCGCTGGACTTCACCTCAGCTTCTGCCCTCATCCCTGAGATGACAGCCTCCCTGGTCTCCCTCAGAGTACTGACGCTGGTTTCCTCTGCCCAAATCCCTCTCTTGTCAGCTCTCTCCCTGACAGACTTTGGGCTTTCATGTCACCTTAGAGACAGGCAGCTCCCCAAAGCCTTCCAGCCTTTCCTCTGATGTGACCCCAATTTAATTCACTGCAAAGCACGGCCACATGGAAAGGTATTTGTGAGGGTGTGGGTGTGTGCGCGTGCACGCACCACTTGGCAGGAGTCACGTCTGCCTGTGGACACGAGTATCTCCTATGACCCTAGAGTGTTGAGACATGCCTGGGAAAGGGCCACCAAGGTCCTCCTTGCGACCTCAGTGAGCTTGACTTCCCAGTGGGTCTCCATCTGCACTGTTTGCATTAGTGCAAGTGTGCATGGACGTGATTGGAATGTCTTCGTTGTGCTTTATTTTAAATTTGCACAAATCCAACTCACACCAAATGCACTGTGCTGGATCTTCCGAAAGAGATTTTCGAGAGTTGGAACTTGCAGACTGAGTTGGTTTTATTTCTCGATTCGGAGTCTTCACTTGTGGACAAGATGACCTCTCTCTCTCTCCGTCTTTCTGATGCCCCTCTGTCTGTCACCTCTCTTGCAGAAAGCACGCCCTGAACTGTCATCGGATGAAGCCTGCTCTCTTCAGTGTGCTCTGTGAGCTCAAGGAAAAGACAGGTAGGCCGCCAGCAAAGACCCCCTTGGCTCCAGATTCACAGCTCGACCCGCCCACCTGGTTGGGGATTATTTTGCCGGTCCCATCTTTTCTCTAGAAGTGGAAAGTTCGCCTCTGTCTTTTCCCCCCTCACTTCTATCTTGTTACTGTGTACAACTGGAGAAATGTTCTTTCAAGTACGTAGCAACTGGATGCACTCTTGCTTGACACGAGACCTCAGAGTGTCTGTGGTCCTCAGTGGCTCTGGAAAAGGGACAGATCACAGACTCGGAAAAGGTATCACAGTTCTGCACTTGTTTGTCTTAAGCATCTGTTAGGCAGGGTCTCTAGAGAAGCAAAACCAGACACTTATGATTTTATATATATATGAGGATAGGTTTACACAATGAGAAGGAATATAACAGTTAATTAGTCCACACAGCAGTACAGAGGGTTCAGTTCAACTCACTTCTGTGGAACAGTTAATATACTGGAAGTCCTTCAACTCATGTGCGCTGCTGGGTCCAAGGTCCAGAAAGCAGACAGCAGAGTCCTCCCTCAGGCAAGGCAAGTGGAGTCTGCCCACAGACAGCAAATAGCAGGGCGGGCTGGTCAGCAGTAGTCATTAGCGCGGGAGCTTAATGAAGCAGGCCTGGGTGGGATATCAAATGCAAACAATGCAAGGTGACAGGATCCACCAGCCGCAAGCTCAAGCGATACATACCCACCAGCAGTGTGGCAAAGCAGGTCTCAAGCTCTAGCCACACATCCGATCCACAGGTTGGCTTGGCCCACAGGTGGTGTAGCTCACAGGTTGAGGCAGAGAACTAGGTACAGCAGCAGCACTCTGGTCCATTCACCAGAGGGCAAGAGAGATGCGGGCAGCCCTTGCAGGGTCATTTGTCTCTTTGCCCGCCAATCAAAATGTGACCTAATTAATCCCACATGTTCCTATTGGCCAGGTGGGCACAATAAACCTAACCATCACAGCATCCAAGGTGTAATTATCGCGGATTTAAAGATATTTTTTATTTTGGATTCATTGTAGGCTTTATAGCGAAGTTGAACACAGCAGCGTTGAGTCCGTTCTGACTCACAGCAGCCCTGTAAGGCAGGGCAGGCCTGCCCCAGGGGGTTTCTGAGACTGTAACTCTTTTCTCTCTCGAGGAGCAGCCGGTGGTATCAAACAGCTGACCTTGCCGTTAGCAGCCTAACACATAATGACTAGGCCACTAAGCTCTTTTCTACCTTTCTCCTAGCAACCTCTAAACCAGTGGTTCTTAACCTTCCTGATGCCACGACCCTTTAATACAGTTCCTCATGTGGTGACCCCCAACCATAACATAATTTTCCTTGCTACTTCATCACTGTCATTTTGCTACTGTTATGAATCATAATGTAAATATCTGATATGCAAGATGTATTTTCATTGTTATAAATTGAACATCATTAAAGCATAGTGATGAGTCACAAGAACAATATGTAATTCTATATTGTGAAATATTTATATCTAGTGACAAATAGATGAAATTTTGTCTTGAAGCATGGTGTACCATGGGTCTTCACACCCGGTACTCGTCTGTGGGCATATCTGCATGTGGCCGACCCGCCTGGAGACAAAGGAGCAGGGGCTCAGTTCCTAAGACCATCACAAATGTGTGTTTTCTGATGGTCTTAGGTGACACCTGTGGAAGGGTCGTTTGACACACACCCCCCCCAAAGGGGTCGCGACCCACTGGTTGAGAACCGCTCCTCTAATGTATTAATCACTCAAATAACCCTAGTGTGATGATCAAAACCAGGAAATTAGCATTGGCCCCACGTTATGTAACTGAACTTCAGCCTATAGCTAGACCTTAGCAGTTTCTCCCCAGTGGCTGTCACTGGCTGTCCAGAGTCCTGTCTGGGGTCCCATGTCCACTTAGCCTCCAACCACCCTTAGTCTCTCTGACCTGCAGCCGTTCTGTTCTTCGGTCTTTCCTGATCTTCTGATGTGGGTGCTACTGGTGAGCATTGCCCGGTCATGTAGCATGCTTCTGTGTCATGCAGATGGCCCTCGGCGTGGGTTTTACTGTGTTTCTTCATGACTAGACTACAGGAGTGTCTCTTGGAGGGAATTCCACGCATGCGTTGTTTGGGGGCACATTCTGTCTTGTATCCTATGACTGAGGAAGCATCGTGCCACTTTCCACAGTGATTGTCACCTTGATTCATGGGTACAGTTAGTCACACCCTGAAGCAAATCTGAATTAGCTGCCACCACTCTGCTGAAGGCATCACCATCTCCCAGGCCAGGCTGCCCTAGGTTTACCAGATGTTGGATGCCTTCGTTTGTCCCTGCCCCAGTCACACGGTGAAGATGCTACCTGCTGGCCTACCCCTCTTCACGTTGCTCTTTTCTCCTGTATAACAAACATTCTAAAGGGAGGAGGAAGCCTGGTGGCATAGTGGTTACAAGTTGGTCTTCTCTCCGAAAGGTCTGTAGTTCAAAGCCACTAGCGTCTCTGGGAGGGATTTCTACCCCCATAAATAGTTCCAGTCTCAGAAGCCCACGGGGGCAGTTCCACCCTGACCTATAGGGTTGCTATGAGTCGGCGGCACCGACTTGATGGCAGGGAGTTTGTTTTGGTTCTATAGGGAACTCTTGGAGATGATAGAATTGTCTCATTCCTCCTTCAACACACAAACAAACGTAAAATGGGTGAAGGTTTACATCTCAGATCATCATTTTTTCATTCGACAGCGTGAGTAACTTCTTAGCCCTCTCAAAGACTTACCCTGTTTCCCAGACTTCTCTTCGTCTTGTAGGATGTTGCCAAGTCAACACCTGTCCACCCACCAGCCTGTGACGTCTCCTCCCTGCCTTGCCGCTCCCACCCCTGGTAACCATCAAAATCTGCTTCTTCTAGCATGAAACCCTTTTATTATTATGATGATTATTGATAATCGTGGTCTCATGCAGTGAGATGGACTAACTCTCACTTAGCTTGCCCCCCCCCACCCATCCACGTGCGAGGTGTTTCACCGTGGGGGTCTTTCACGAGGCCTCGTACCCATTGTGTGTAAGCACCAGTGTGCTTACACGCCCTTCCACTGGAGCCCTGGTGGCGTAGCGATTGCGAAACCATCAGCTGCTCCTCGGGAGAAAATCAGGGCTTTGTACCCCTGTAAAGAGTGACACTCTCAAAACCCACAGGGGTGGTTCCCGCCTGTGCTGTCGAGAGTCATTGCAAGTCGAGTGCATGCACCCGAAAGCAGGGAGGCTTGTTGAGTCTCCACTGATGGGCCCTTAGGTGGTTTCCATCCTTACCCTTGTGAGCAGCGCCACGTCAAACATGGGTGTGCATGTCTGTTCGTGCACACTCCTTATTTCTGTAGGGTAGATACTAAGTAGAGCGATTGCTGGGTCACCTTGCTTTTCTATTCCCAGCTGGTTGAGGCCACGCCAAACCACTTTCCCTAGGCACAGTCCCATCAACAATAGGAGGGCTCCCCGTTCCCAGAATCCCCTCCGGCCTCAGATGTTTTCCGCTTTCGGTGAACTTTGTGTTCAGTGCGGGTGCTCGGTGGCATCACATTGTTGTTTCCCGTTCTCTCACGGATGGCTAGGGATGGAGAGCATTGCTTTACAAATTTGGTGGCCACCTGGATATCTTTTTTTTCCCCTCCCAAACCATTTTTTGGGGAGCTAAGACAGATACCATATCGTTCCCTAGTTCGATCACATCGAGCACTGTTGCCCACTTGCTACCACAGTCAGTTTCAGAGTGGAAGACTTTTACCCTATTCCTCCTTAAGCTCTCAGTGGGTTTCCTCATTGTGTGTCCACGTGGCCCGCCGAGTCCACTGTGTCACATTCTGCTACTCAGTTAGCCAGTAGGACCTCCCTCCGGCTGCCTGGGTCCCTCTGACGGCTCTGCGTATCTTCGAGCCCTTTCTCTAAGGAGCCTGGGGCCATGCAGAGTCAAAGGTTGAGAAACCAGGATCCCAGTCCTTGGGGTGTTCAGTGGGGCTGGGGTGTTGCTGCCCCCAGGCACTCTCAGGGACCCAGGAGCAGAAAAGTATGTGTAGATGTATACATGTGTGAGCACATCTGCACACACGTATACACACAGATATGCATGTTTCTTGTATATATTGAAAACCTTGGGGCCATTCTTTCAGTCTAGTCCATCGCCACCAGGCGCATGCTCGTTCCCTGCTCCAGGTTGCTGGGCATCTAATGGGGATACTGGCTGCCCCGCTCCTGACCTGCCACATGGCAGCATCAGCTCCTCAGCAGGGTCCCACACTCAGAGCTCCTAGGCCTTTCCTTGTGGTCACAGGTCAGTTGAAATGAGAGCATTTCTTTGGAGGAAAGAAAAATGTTGATTGGCTTCGGAAACTGTCCACAAGGGCACCTGTCTCTCCAGGGTGGCTGAGACCAGGTCAGCCGGCCCCCCTCGTCCCCGGGCCTGCACCCTGGCTGCCTTTGGAAATGCAGTGCTTGCTAGCTCTTCCTTTGCCCTTTTGCCTTGCGTGAGAAAAGCTGCCTAGGAGGCCGAGCTTAAGTAGACTCAATGGCAATGCAAGTTCATGACTGGATGCATGTGCATGCAAATCTATTGAAATAGCTTCATCTGCATGCCCGGTGGAGGTTTTAGCACCTGAGGTTGTGAGATGTTTTGATTAGAGATAATGTGGTGAGAAGCAACGGGAATGTCACTTGCTATGACAGTCCCTCCACCTGATGCCCACAGAGGGCGCGGCAGCCCCTGCGGAGGTAGGTTACGGGGACAGTTTGGTAGGAGCCGTGTGGGGCTGAGAAAGTTCAATGACTTGAACAAGGACTTCCCTACCATCTGGTGTCCACGAGCGAACCTTGGGACCTTGCCTCAAAGGTAAAGAAGGTAGGTTGCTCATTTCTAAGGTGTTAGAAATGTAGCCATTGCAACAGATGACCAGGCCCAGCAGAGAAGTGGAGCGTGGCATGGGAGGGAGGGCTGGTGTCAGAATTAATCAAAGAGGCTTGAATGTGGAAGCA